AAATAAAAAAAAAATGTTAAACTGGGAACCACTTTCCGTACGTCGGGAACAACTGCGACTAAAATTTTTATACTCAATAGTTAAAAAAAACAGAAATAAATAGCGAGACTTACTTAAAAGAACCCTATTATGTTTCTAGTCGTAATGATCATAGTCTTAAAATTAGAGAGTACCGCGCTGGGACATGCATGTTTGCTAACTCTTTTTTTGTACGAACAATTGCACAGTCGAATCGGATGTCTGAAGAGCAAGTGTGCTGTTTCAATGAAGACGTGTTCTTTTCATCCTGGTAAGCCCCCCCCCCCCCCCTTTTTATCTCAAATTGTGCAGATAAAAAGGGTATAACTTTTAATTTCCCTGAAAAAATATATATATATATGTTATGGCGCCGTCTCTAAAAACGCAGTGGCCATAAACCGCAAGTTTGTCGGAATTTTTGTTCTTGACTTACACATTTTAAAAGAGGCCGCGGCGGAAAGCAGTGTTTTTCTACATTGTTTATCTACATTGTAACAAAATATAAAAAATATAAAAATTTGGCTTTTTGAGAAAATTTATCTTAAAATCGGTACTTTTTGGTTTTAGCATAACATTAACGTAAACGTACCGCAAAGGAAATTTTACACAACTGAGTGATTTTATATTATATATAAAAAGCGTTTTTTGGGGGCTCTCCATAGACATAAAAAATATCGACGTAACCCAAGTAGGTCGCCAGTATTTAATTGTCAAAGTTCATCAACACTTAACCGAAAGGTGGTTTTGACGTTTTTACAGAAAAGAAGCAAAAGGCCTAAAATTTTTCCATGCCATTGGAGCCTTTTAACTGTACTCTCAGAGTGCTTGAAAAAATTATTATAATGTGGACCGAAAATCCACGGCGGGAGATCGAGCGAGGCATCCGACCCACGAAGGATATGAAAACAACTGCTTTCCGCCGCGGCCTCTTTTAAAATTCGTAAGTCGAGAACGAAAAATCTGACGAACTTGCGGTCTGTGGCGACTGCGTTTTTAGAGACGCGGCCATAAGATTTTTTTTTCAGCGAAATTAAAAATGCGGCTATATATATATATATATATATATATATATATATATATATATATATATATATATATATATGGGTGATTTCATCTCAAGCAAGCAAAAACGGCCGCATTTTTAATTTCGCTGAAAAAAAAATGTTATGGCCGCGTCTCTAAAAACGCAGTAGCAGCAGACCGCAAGTTCCTCGGATTTTTTGTTTTCGACTTCCGAGTTTTAAAAGAGGCCGCGGCGGTAAGCAGTGTTTTTCACATCCAGCGTGGGTCGGATGTTTCGCTCGATCTCCCGTCGTGGATTTTCAGTCCACATTATATTACCTTTTTGTGAACACTCTGTGGGCACAAGTAAAAGGCTCTTTACCGTGAAATAATTTTACGCGTTTTGTTTTTTTTTCTGAAAAAACGTCAAAGCCGCCCCCTCGGTTGATTGTTGACGAAATTTGACAATTAAATACTGGCGATCTACTTGGGTTACACCGATATGTTTTATGTCCACAGAGAGCCCAAAACACGCTATTTATATTTATTATAAAATGCCTCGGCTGTATAAAATATCCTTTACGGGACGTTTGCGTTAATATTATGCGAAAACCAAAATGTACCAATTTTGAAATCAATTTTCTAAAAAAAATATATATATATTTTTTTTAATATTTTTTTTTTTATTTTTTGTTAAAATGTAGATACAATAGTTGTCTGTTCAAAAAGCAAGTCGAGAAAGTTTTTTTTTTTTTTTTTTGTATGTTCTATATTTAAGCCCCAATATCGGAAAAAGACGTCTTTGTTTTGCCAGACCTTAGACATAGGGACCCGTGCGCTCCTAGGATTTGTGAAAAGTTTCCTTGAATTTTTATTTGCGTTTTCTAATGAATTATAAGCGCATTTTTTGGTGTTGAATAATTATTTATGTTTTGATAAGAGCGAGAAACCACGAGAAACATATCTAATCAAATCAGCATTCTTAGTAGGCCTTCAATATCGAAGAGGCACAGACGTTGTACTGTTTCGATTTATAAAACTTTCATTGTAAACTAGCATGACTAGCTATTAACTTTCATACTGCTAAGCCACAGAAAGTCACCACATCAATGATATATTACATACAATTCTTTCCGAAATGTGCACCGGACATTGCGCAGATCACCAGGAAATGGCCTTTCACGTCCGTAATACACAAAAGTGATGACACAAACAGTCCCAAACAGATGGCGAGATTGTCACGGAGAGGGGTAGGGAATAAAAATAAATAAATAAGAATAAAATTACCAAACCCCGATCTTAAAGAAAATTGTGTTAAAAAAATAAAAGATTTAAGTTCGAGCGGCGGCAAGGCGATAGGTCCACGCCTGGTGGAGAGTCAGACAAAGAAATCGACGACACGTAAAGGAAAAACAAGAACAAAAATTAATCAACACGGAAAAACTCAGGCCCACACAGCGAGAACAAAAACCAACTCCTCCGGACGTTCCCTAAACGGGACACCAAATGCGCTCGAACACGCTCTCTACAGCACCATCAGGCCGCTACGCCATGACGAAATAAACCCAACAACTAAACAATGCTAACAAAATATTAGTAAGAAAACACAAAAAAGGAAGTTTAGCAGAACTGCACCTGAGAAACAAAGTTCAGCGGGGCGAAGAAACACACAAGAAATACACAAAAAAAAGGTCTTAACTGACCTACGCCGAGTCCAGTCAAACGACACTGAAGCCTGGTAGGATGAAGGCGTCCAGATGATGCTCGATTCTATTCTTCACTCTGTTCCGCACAGCCACGACTGCTGTGCGGAACAGGGGCTGTGAAGCCACTCTTACGCAAAGTGAAGAATAGATTCGACCAGCGATGCGCGAGAAGGTAACCGAGACGAAACTTGCCTCGAGATTCGAATCGGGAGAGAACTTTCAAGGTAGTTATTGCGGTTACTCAAACTTTCTCTTTCCCCTTCCCTTTTTTAAATGAACACCTCAGCTGGCGCTAACTTTTCATCTCGGGAGAAGACCACTCTTCACAAACGGTTATAGCTGAAAAGGAGGCTGACTTCGACCCAACTAGTCTCCGGGGAGAATAAACACAAGCATATTTGCCAACACGCTCGTTTTAATGGTAGTCTCCGGGTTTTGCTGCTTCCAAAAAAGATAACCTTTCGGTGCTATCGGATCTCCGCGGAGAGAGATAGAGCACGGCCGTTTCAAGGATAGGGAGCTCGAAGCTTGAGCAAATACGCGGTATCGTTTCACGGTTGCACGAATGGCTGGTTTCAAAATTTCCCCACATCCCTAACAAAACCGGTCCATCTTTGTATGTGCGTCTGCGGGATTTTTGTCCCGCGCCGCCGGTTTAGCGCGCACGCGGCGTTGTTTTGGCCGGCAGAACGGTTGTTGACCGTCGATATTGTAAGGACATGGTGCCATCAACCTCACAGGCAACAGTTCTTTTGCTTTCCCTTGTGCAATACTCTGACTGACTGACTCCTCCTGAGTGGCCGTCACTGTTCGCCGCGTCAACGACACATTCGTACCATTTCACTCCTCGTGACACAGGGTGCGCTGCTCGCTTTACTGTCACGGGCCCTTCTATCTAACCCAACGAGCGCGAAAGGCCGTGGTCATCGGCTGGTTCCGAAAGGGCGGGACGTTCATATAGGCCAATGAAGGCCCCGAATCAATACCACGTCTGCCGATCTCTAAACATTAAAAATTTTCGACGCCTGCTGGGCTCTTTTCAACTTTTCCGATGTAGGTTGGCACCTATTTAAAATTTAAATGATAAATAAATAGAACAGGGCGGAACTACTGTATCTAATTTTTATGTGGGAACGTTGAAAAAAGGCAAAAATATTGCCATGTTTGTGACGACGCGCAATTCGCGCGGCCATTTCGAGCCGTAAAAACACGTTTTTGTACGATATTGATGCTCAATATAAAACATTCAAACAAGATAACACTTTCTTGACTTGATTTTCGAGTAGACAACTATCATATCTATATTTTAACACAAAATAAAAAAAAAAAATGAAAAATTGATTTTTTGACAAAATCGATTTCGAAATTGGTCCTTTTTGGTTTTAGTATAATATTAACGTAAACGTACCGGAAAGAAACTTTTATACGGCTGAGTGATTTTATAATATGTATAAAAAATGTGATTTGCGCTCTCCATAGACATAAAAAGTATCGACGTAACCCAAGTAGATCGAAAGTAATTAATTGTCAAAGTTCATCAACAATTGTTTGATATGTTTGCAGAAAAAAAGCGAAGCGCCTAAAATTACTTTATGGCATTAGAGGCTTTTAACTGTACTTACAGAGTGCTTGAAAAAAAGTTAATATAATGTCGACTAAAAATCCACGGCGGGAGATCGAGCGAAACATCCGACCCACGCCGGATGTGAAAAACATTGCGTTCTGCCGCGGCCTCTTTTAAAATTCGGAAGTCGAGAACAAAAGATCCGACGAACTTAAGGTTTGTGGCTACTGCGTTTTTAGAAATGACGCCAGAAAATTTTCTTCAGCGAAATTAAAAATTCGACCCTTTTTGCCTGCACGATTTGAGATGAAATCACCCAGATAAATATATATATATATATATATATATAACTGAGAAGAAAAAACCTTAGTGAAAACAGCAACAACGGACGATTTAATCTTCGACGTTCCGGCCGGAGTCCGGCCTTCGTCAGGAAGCAGGCCACGCCCACGCCTTCGGCCTCCCGCCACCATTCCCATTATATATATATATATATATATATATATATATATATATATATATATATATAGAAGAGGCAAAAATGGAAATATCCACCCCGAAAAGGTTGTTCAATTTCAAATCAAACCGCCCTCGTGATAATTGCAAAGCAGTAGGCATCCTTCTTTCCAAACACCTTGAACCCATGCCTCTTGTCGCGATACATGTTGCCAGTAAAACAAACAAATTAACAAGCTCGTTTCCATCAACAGGGTGACTGCGACCGCCGGACCTGTGCTGTACGGCGCAACGAAGAGCTCAGCAAAGCGACCAACCGTGGTATATAGTCAGTGGGTCCACAATGGGCAGGCCTCTTCGTACCAGACGACCACCGTTGAAAGAAAGACCGAGCACAAGAAGACAGCCACCTGGCACGTTGAAAATGGTTTCGGTTATTCCGGCTCCGTGACAGCCAGTGCCCATTCGTTTATTGTGAACATTGAAACCAAGCACCAAATAAGCTTAGACTTGAAAAAGGGATCTCGTGAAGAAGTCTCTGACACCGAGACATTCTCCGTAAATCAGGTCGTCAAAGTGCCTCCGATGAAGTCCGTCAAGATTGACTGGATCATCACAGATGCCGTGCAGGTACGTAACACCTGGATGAATTTTGTCGTTGAAATGGCCATCACAGGCATCGCGATTCGCTCGAGCAATGCAGTTTACATCGAAGTTATGGTGTGTTGGCCTAGGCAAGGTGCATCAGTGAGCCTAAGTGAACTGGAGGTCATTAGGACGAGGGTGATTGTATTTTGTTTGTGTTAGGTAATAGAACACTGAGATGCTGTGGCCGAACATACCGACTATAACTGCAAGGTCACGACGCATTCACTGCGCTTCATTAATTTAGCCGATCATAGAACATGTAAATAAATTACAAACACCTGTACCTTGTGCGCTTCGTGCTGTTCGTTCATACTCCGTTTCACACACATTAAGCCTGACCGGAGCCAATGCTAGAACCCGACTGGAGCCAATCGAGCAGTTCTAAAGTGCATGGTCATGGAGCTCGTTGCATTTGTTTGCAACGACTAATTCACTGTGAGTGAATGGCTAAATGATTATACGATTGATTGGCCCAATAGTGAATGTCATTGGACGTCAATTGTACATTTTTCTATGACTCGAGGCTTTATCGCCTTACTTACGCGGAACGCAAGTTCGTCTGCTTCTTTTGCAGGGGTTGTGATAACGTCAAAACGCCGATCTTTGATTGGTTCTGACTGAAGAATAGTGGGTAGACGTCGAGGCAGCTTGCTTCGAAGGCTACCCTCTATCCTTCAATCAGAGCCAATCCGAGCTCGGCGTCTTTCTGATGTCGCCGCAACTCCTGCGCAGGAAGCAGACGAACTGCTGCCTGCGTTATTGCACAATGCAACCATCGTTTTTTTTTTTTTTTATTTTGTGGAATAAATAGGAAAATACGTTGATCTGGCAATGCTTTCAAATTGTTGACCGTTTATGAGTCAATAAATTATTTCTTGCGATTAGTGAATTAAGTTTTTGTGTTGGTATTCTTTTTCTTTTACACAGGAAGTTCCTTGGACATCGACAGTGACCGTAACCGGACATTTCGCTATCAAGTTCACGGAGAAACTCGGAGGTTCTTTCGTGTGGTATTACAACCTCCCGTATCTCAAAGATCCCCGTATTAAGTTTACAGGAATGGAGACGCTCCTATACACTGCTAAAGGAACGTTTACTGCAGTCCAGGGACACGAGGCTCACCTTCGCGTCACAGAGCACGATTATCAGGCGTACGGAGGAAGATCTTCTGCAGTCAGGACATACATCATTCCTTTGAGCCTGACACCGCATACGCCTGCGGCGAAGACTCTGTGATACTTCAAATCTTTTTCATCGGAGAAAAATAAATAATCTTATTAGGGAGTCATTTCTTATATTGTAGTTTAAATGATGAGAGTGACCGCTTTCTGCTCATAGAGGGAAAAATAAGTATAAAATTAGTTTCATACACTTAAGTTTGATTTGATAAAAAAGAAGATACATCATGAGGCTAAAACCTTTTTCCGTCTTAATTTCTCACTTATTTAATCCTTCGGGGAAATCTCTTTGAAGCTATATGTCAAGAATCAGTGAGCAAATACTTAATAGAAGAAAACAATACGCGGATTGTGCTTTGTAATAAATATTTCACTTAAGAGGGCGCGGTACCTCTATTTATTCGTCCGTTTCAGCCACCAGGTAGCGCGCGGCTCGTAACGTGGTTGAACGCGCAACTTCTAGGTGGCGCCAGTATCAAAGTGTGAAAAGGCCCGCGTTATCCCCTGCTTGAAATAGATCCCCGAAATGTGCCGTGTTCTCCCGGCGGAGGAAGTTTCTCCCTCCCTCGCGCGCTCTTGGTATCTCTGTGGTCAGTCAGCTCAGTGTGCATTGCATCGGACGTCAGTGGTAATACGCGCGGTGGCCGAGTCCGGCCTCTGCGCTGTGTGATGCAGTGGGTGGCGCTCGTTTCTGTTCAAAGGCAGAGCCATTTCGGAGGTAGGAATAAAAATGTCGGTCCCCTTTTTTACGACGCTCGTTTCTATAGCTTGTTTAGTTTTTTTTTTTTTTTTTTATCTCAAGTGACCTACAGTACCGCCTCTTCCAAATCGTCCTTTGCGGCGAGCGATTGAGAGTCAGGTTATCATTTTATTTTGGTCAGCACTACACGTTCAATGAAGACCTCGAGCGGCGATGTAAATATGTATTGCTCCCCAAAGTATGTCCAAGGTACGCAATGACAATTGTAAATGGTATTGAAGGCGCGCGACCGTCGGTTGGTAAAATACATGCGTTCGATTCACTCATTCAGTTTAATCATTTTTGCCAACGTCTTTTATCTGTTTCGACAAATGACATGGTTGAGTCTATTGATAACCCTAGCTAGATTGGACGCATGGAGTGTCCGGTCTTTAAATAAATTTGCTTCGTTTATGTGAATGAATAACTGTTTTCTCTTTTCTGTGCTCGGTGCTACGCAAAAATCGCTTAGATGTTATGATAGCGTAGTGTGGCGGCGTTTTGCACGCTGACTCGCTATTGCATTCGCTGTGCACAATATGTGTTCAGATGGAATATGTCAAATCGTATTTCCGATTGATATGAGATTTACTTTGCTACAGTGTTAATTATATCTTCCTGATTTATACATGGTTCGTCCCTGATCTGAGCCTAAGTTCAAATTCGAAGGTGCTGACAGACTTAGCGTCGTAGCAGCCGTAAGGCGCAGAAAGAAATTAGTACCATGAAAGAAAACAAAAGGATACGAGGTGGCTCGCTGTTATAGAAGTAATGAGCGTGCAGAAAATGCCATCGTACGCTTTTTTTTCGAACTCTCCGCATCGCTGGGAAGCGCTCAAGGTAGCAGCAAAGACAGCGAGCTGGCGTGAAATTTCCATCGAGCGGAAGACGAGTGTCACTTTCATTTCATCATGCGCTTTCATTTTGATATGACTCAAAATGCGCGCGAAATAGTAACAGGTAGGGCAACAGAATTTAGATATTGGTTCTGGAACATCGCCAGACTCAGCCGTGATAGGGCCATCTCTCGCGAGTCAATACGTCAAAAGTATTGCGCGTCAAACTGTACGTGAAAGTTATCGATTTCAGCGAAACCTTGATTACGCAAAACTATTGTGCGTTAGAGATATGCATCATGTTAATCAGGTATGACTATACCCTATCTCACTAGTTGCGCGCAGTACTTGGAAGCCACGAGCGAGAAATAAATGACAGTTGATTTTGAAGGACAATCGCGACGTGATAAGATAAGACGAGAGTTTCCCCTTCTCTTCAAGTGCGTGGGTTACGCTCTCAATCCTGCACCGGTGGTAACACTGCAGGCTCCTAAAATCGTCTTCCCTGAAGAACACAGTAGCCTTTAGAATCGAGGGGTGCTACGCGAAAGCGAGCGACATGTCACGGGAACGAAGGCGAGGTGCTTCGGGCTTTGAAAACGCTCTTGATCGCAACAACAACTTTTTTTTTTTTTTTGTCAAGGCACAGTTTCTTTTTTTTTTCGTCTACCTTGATACCCCATCAGCGCAAAACTACCATAAACTAAAAAAAAAATAGTTGGCATAAACAACAACGCACCCACTGGGACCCGAGTCAAGGCAAGAACAACTAACTACTAAAAGGGGAAAAAATCATGTTCGCATACACAGACAGAACGCCTCCATTGAAAGAAATGAATCATGCGCTTATTCTGTCAGTCTCGTTGTGCGTCTGTCAAAAGCCATAAAGGAGAAAGACAATTAGCGCCTGCACCACTCCGCCCCCCCCCCCCCCCCCCCCCGCGCTTATGGTCAAGAGGTCCAACGAGTCAAAAGGTCCAACGAGTCAAGCGGTCCAATAGCCACGTGACAGCCGAGTCAAGAGGTCCAACGAGTCACAAGGTCCAATTCGAGTCAAGAGGTCCAACGAGTCAAAAGTTCCAATTTGTGTCAAGAGGTCCAACGAGTCAACAGGTTCAACGCGTCAAGAGGTCCATCCAGCCTTATTTTTAGCTTTTCTGTTTATAATGATAATGCTATTATTGACTGCTTGTGACGGTTACTGACTGTTTGACCTATTTGAATCATTTTGGAGAATACAAATACTACATAGCCACTGGAGGAAAGTAGACAGATACTATTTGCCACAACGTATATATATTTCAGTGTTAAATAAAGAATAGTGCCTGGCGACATATTTTGGACTTGTAGAACTTCGTTTCTGTGTTTCAGTCTCTCTTTTCTAGGACTTATGCCATTTCTACGGAAGTGTCCTCTCAAATTCCCGAGATATAAAATACAAATGTACCTCAGCATCTTGCGTTTGGCCTTCCTTTTCTTGTATCTCAGTATTTGTAAAAGCAAATACTTTCTTGGGTAAATTTGTCCAGTCCCGGTTTCTCGTATGTTCTATTAAAAATATGATGCACTACTATTTTATGCTTTAGTTTTTATTCATTGAGTTCACCGATTCACTAAAGAGGTAAATAACACAACATGGGAAGAAGCTCAACTATCACTCGACGGCGTCTTTAAACGAGCCCAAATTAAACCACTTGGCGTCCAATAGAGTGTTGCAAATGAATGCAAGCATTGTCTCCTTGAAACGTTATGACCGGTGCAAGCTATAGCGGATTAATTTGGGCCGTTGGCTTACTCAAAAGCAGGGAGCAGCCACAAATGCTTATGCTAGCGATATGTAACTCCTTTACTGCTCTTTATTTTTGAGAATGTTGTGAAATAAACCATGAAACTGAACCCTAGCAAAAATAACGGTTTGAAATTACTCCGGAAAGTGAAATCCGGACTAAAACCATACCGGAGTCACACCGGAAAGGCGGCTTCCGGTTCGCACAAACCGTGAATTTTCAAATCCGGTTCAGACTCAAATGGGAGGAATTCTGGAGAGGCAAATTCCGGTTCGCTCATACCGTGATTTTCCTAATCCGGTTCAAAGTTAAATTGGAGGAATTGTGGACAGGCAAATCCCGGTTCACTCAAACCGTGATTTTCCTAATCGGTTCAAAGTCAAATTGGAGGAATTCCGGAGAGACAGATTCCGGTTCGCACAAACCGTCATTTTCCTAATCCGCTTCAAAGTCAAATTGGAGGAATACCAGACAGACAAATTCCGATTCACACAAACCGTGATTTTCCTAATCGGTTCGCACAAACTGTGATTTTTTGGAATCCCGTTAAAAGTACAATTGAAGGAGTTCTAGACACAAAATAGGCGGTTCGAACAAACCATTTCTTGCCAAATTCGGTTAAAAGGCAAATTGGACAAAGTTTAGACTGAAAATATCCGCTTTGCACAAACCATACTTTGCCATACCTTGTTCAAAAGAAAATCGGATCAGCCGCCTGAAGCCGAAGACTTTCATGCGTATGGTTGAAACATCAAGTTGCAAACAATCCATCCCGATATCGTACGGGCTGCGTCGATCAGAGCTCAGACTGCAGAAGGCAGCGAGCTGATACGCAGCGCCAAAAAGGTGACATCAAGGCGATTTTTGCGCAAGTCATCGCCATCTAATTCCATCTAGCTTTTTCTATGCACTCTGTAATACTTGTTCAATATTATTCTTAAACTACGTTTTTTTTTGTTTTTTTATTATTTTTCTTAAAAAATTGCTTGATAACTGTCAAATAACCTTTTTCACATAATTTTCTCCACATAACAACAAACAAAAACAAGAACTAATTTGATGCCACAGTTAGATGTACACACAATCGGAAAGTGTCATGTCAGTATCTTTGAGAGCTTTCCTGCGGTCTCCTTCTTTATGCCTGCATGTTCAACATTCTATTATGGTGCACATGCAGGCAATTTCAAGGGCTTTCATCAATATAGGTACGCAAAGCAGAGACTCGAACCGTAACCGTAACCGAAACTGAAAACCATTTAGGAACGAAAATTTTCAGTAACCATAATTGGAACAAAATTGTTATTAGAGATTAAAAAATAACTATAGCCATAACCGTAACCGTGACCGTACAGTATTTACCGGTAACCGGTTTTAACCAATATTAGCCGAAAAATAAAAAAAAAAAAAAGTTTTTCTCAGGGATGACCTGGAGGCGAGATCATTAAATATCGTGGCAATTTGACAGAGTTACTTTCAGCGAGTGGTGCATCTGGTAATACATTTCCGTTCAATCTAACTTTAGGATTAAGGATACTTAGTTGGAATCAGTGGTCGTGCTTATAATAAAAACGTCTCTATTTCTAAATCTGTCACACTCCTACATCGCTACATGTATCAGTATGTGTCGCCTTCAGTGTAAATAACTAATAAGTTAGAATTCTCATATGTCCATCCAATTCGGTTCCATCAAACCACCGATATTCCTGACATGCAGTACCCAGTATGAAGAAGCCAGGTAAATTGAT